TATATGTTACTCGCGTAATGATTATAATGGTGTTTTAATCGGATTGATATGTAATTGCTTAAGCCTTAATTAAATCGTCGCCTCTTCGAATTTAATACTGAGTGTTATTAATCGAATTTGAAAACTTCTGGGCACGCTAACGAGACGAAAAGATGTCCATAGTTTAGGAAAAGATGGTTTGAAAAAAATGTGCAGGGAAGACTTGTATGAAGAGCGAGCTGGCTTACATCAACATAGCAATCAAACTTGTCGTTTGTTGATAGCTCAAGAGTATTAAAGAAGTGTTGTTTTAATTAGTAATTGATCTTTTCGAATGGGAGAGCTCTCGAAAGTTAATTTGTCTTTCCGTCATGTCGTTCAAACCGTCAACACTCCGTGCTTGAACAGGAAATCAGGAAATGACATTGTCAAAGATCGATGGGCTTGCGGCTTTTTATTTCACACACTTTGTTAAAGGTTATGACATTATTATATAAAAAAAGAAAGCTGATGACATCTTTGCTCAGAAAAATGATTCAGCTTATATTAGACTATGGACACGTTTCATTTTTCATTTAAATGCGGTCGCGATGGAGTTTTCTTCACCATCTTGAAATCAGGTTTAAATTCGTCAACAGTCTTCTACGGTCGTGCTGTTTGTCGTCAACTTGCAAGATGGCTTTTGTTTTGCGACAAAATCCTTGGTAATAAGCTTTTATCACTCCTTAATGGGTGGGTTTTCTAACCCTTACAAATAAGCATAAGGAAAGGTTGAGCTCACATTCGGGGGAAGGAAGGAAGTGAAAAAAGGTATGAAAAAATAAACCCTTTCGGAACGAGCGAGTTAGGGCCACAAGCGAAATGTGCTGATACATTACGTAACCCAAAATATAATCGAACTTCAGGCTATGTACTCTGATGTTTCGTTTTTATTTCCCACTCTTGAACTTGAACAAGCGTTTCTTAATTAATTTTTCCAAATAGAAAATAAGAAAGGCAAACTCTACGAGGAAAGGTAGAGTTAGGGGTGGGGGAGGGGGCTTTGCAGGCTAAATGCGAGGTCCTTATAATCACAGTTTTGTCCACGAGGACTTGAAGCGGACGGGCGATGCGGGGAGGGGGGGGGGTGAGGGGAGAGGGAGGGGGTGCTTATGAGCGGTTTTAGGAAGTAGTGTATGAATAGTTGCTTTTCGTTTGATATGACTCTATGCGCTATATGAACGCGTAGCCAAATTGGTAGCAAATGAAGGAGATTAAATTCCAGTTTTGTAAAATCTTTCTTTTATATTTCTTTTATATATTATCAGTACAGCAGCGAATCCTGAAAGAATTTCACGTTTTTGTAAACCATTGTCGGAAGTCAAGTGGATCAAGTGTTTGAGAGCCTACAGTTAACAGAGAAGCATTTTCATTCTGTATTCGTTTTCAGTCCAAAACAAGGGTGGGTTTTAAAAAGTGGGATTGTAATCAAAAACATTACGAAATTGCAATGGTCCGGGTGGAAATAAGCAAAACTCCCCCTGACCACGTGAAATTAGCGTGTTTTCAACCAACAGATGTATTATTTAGTCAACAGTAATAATCCAGTTAACACTTCGCCAGCGATATGAATGGTGTGTAAACAACGCGCACAATACATGCGTACGATGCTTTCGATGTTTATTTGCAAAATTGTTTGACGGTGTCACATGGGTTCCGCTCGACTTAACTATCGAATTTTGACCTGGCAGCGTAATAAGATTACGCAAATTGCCTCACTGAGTGTAACATGGTGTAACGTTAATCAACCGGTAAGATGATGCGAAATTTAAAGCTAACATCGGCGTGAGCGAAGAGGGTGTAAAAGCAGTCAACGGCTGGCTTATTAAAAGTTCATTGAACAAAACTTTAACTAACTAAATAACCGTAAACAATAACAGCTTCCGAAACTCTATACAAGGTTAGACTTTACCACCTGTGGAAAACAAAGGCTTATTTCAACGTTAGTAATCCTTAATTCAGCCGCCAGTTTACCCCGAGGGTTTAAATTATGCATCCTGTGCCAATCATGACATTTCGTCGCCGGATAAAGAATTTGTGACTGATCACAGACTTGGTCTTAGAGTGATAAATTTGAGTGAGACAGGTAATTTAGATATCCACTGGTCAATGTAACACAGAACATACTCTAATATATGGTGATCCACAAGTTAATGGCGATTATTTCGTTTGTTATTAAAGTTAACTTAAGTGATTAACGGCGTGTTGCAAGACAAAGGAACGCTTATTGGAAAAATGATGTTTTAAAAATTAACGCTAACATTGTGAGTTCGACGTAAATGTCTTTGGAACTTTGTGCGTGTGTTCGGCGTTTAGAGGACAAAAAAAACAACAAAAAAAAAACCACTTGAAGTCAAACCAGTTATGCAAACACTGTTATGCAAACACTGTCTGCTGTGTGTTTCATTCATGTATCGTGGTTATTTTCCATAATACCTCGTGTTCTTTATAACCAGGCAGAACTTATTCTTTTTCTGCCTTTGTAATTACGAACAAGACTAATTAATAACATATGGAAACGTGTAACTCGCTTATAATTGTTTTCATCTAATAAAAGCGAGCCACCTTTGTGAAGCTAACTCTCATTGTCTGATATCAAATGCCTGAATAACTAGTTTGACTTCATTAACACTTTGCCACACAACAGCTTCCATTCCAAATTATGGTACTTCGAATTCGTTAACATTAATCAGTTATCACGGATAGTTTACCTACTTGAAAAATGAAAATAAATTGCTCAAAGGCAGTGAATAGGGTGGACGTCAGTTCGAGTGCCTCGTTTGTTGTTCATATTAGCAACCCTTGTGCGCAATTTAACATAGCGCTTTTGTAAATGTCCTTACGTCTAAAAATTCCCTGATTTGCGATACTTCGGGCAAGTTTTCTTTTTTTTTTTTTTTTCAGTTTAAGGCAGCGTCCACACCCCGGGGGAATTAGAAAACGCAGCTTTACTTCTACGGTTAGTCCTACCGTCCACGCTAACCCGTCGCAAAACGGAGCTTTTCAAACACACTCTTCAAACCGGAGGAATTTGAAAACGCCGGTTTTTCGCTTTCGTGTGGACAGAAAACAATTCGAAAACGGAGCTTTTCGAAAACGATGACGTCACGATGATCATGTGATCTCCCTGACCGAGTTTTCCTCAAACGCAAATCCAAAATGACCGGTGATTGTTACGTTGTTGAACTCTACTGGCAGAGTGTGGACGGAAAACATCTGATGCGTTTTCAGAGTGAAACCTAAGTTTTCAAACTTCTCCGAAGCAGTGTGGACGGCGCCTACCAGTTAGCTTTCTCTGATGGAAAGGTAATATAGTCTGCGTCGCGCCAAGTAGTCTACACAGCCGGAGCTTATCCAGGTTTCAGTAGCGCAAGTAACTCGGAGTATTTCTACTCCTTCCCGTGATGGGATCTTAGTTCACCACAGGGTTACTCACCAGCATCAAATTCAGCGGTCCCAATTTAAACACCTGTGTACGGCCTCCGTAGCTGGCGGTTTAGTTGGGGTAGAGCGCGCGAGCGAGCGGCGAGATCGGCGATGCTGCGTGGAGCCTGGTGGGAGAAACGGCTTTATTTTTCCCCCAAGGTCACTCGCGGATCGCGCTCTGTACGGTCCTATACCCCAACCAACTCAACCGCCAGCTACGCGGGCTAGCACCTGTGAGAGTAAAGTGAGGTTTCCTGTGACACAACGCAATGACCGCGGCCAGAACTAGAATCCCGGACCGCTCGTGTTCCAGGCTTTTTCTTCGGCTGACTTGTTTTTAAATTTCAATCTCGTTGGACTTTGTGAAGACATTCAAACCAACGTTGATGACGAGNTTGTTTATATTATAGGAACTTAAATTTTGAAATAAAAATGAGGGGTCCCCATGTTCGTTGAGGAGCAAAAGCACCTTGTTTATACCCATATAAATCCTTTTAATAGCACCATGATTGTAGTTACGATTGCTTGCTAAATTCACGTTTCCGACGATTGCTTTTTGTTCTACACTGAGATCTGGTTCATATTTATTTTACACAGAGAAATTTATTACTCAATTCGGCAAAACAACAGGAAAAAATGATAGGTCACCATACTTGTTTGCGAGAAATTGACGATCTACGTCTATGGTGAGGTCCAGTTGTAAAGAAAAAGCCGCCATTTTTTTATGCGCTAATCACGCGTGGAATTATGCGCAGTAGGGATGCGCAATGCAATACTGGGGAATGACCTTAATTCAAGCTATGTTGTAATGAACTCTGATGTATGTTATCTTTCCTAGTGTTCCAGGGCAGTATGGCAGGTTCAACTCTGCCCTAACTACAGCGCACGTTTATACTACGGTAATATAGATAGTTAGGCAAGCTTAAAAGCGGAGCTCCTGAGGCGCGTTGTTCAAAGCCAGATTAAGCTAACCCAGGATAAGCGAGAATTTTGATTTGAGTTTTTTAACTTTGCGGTGAGGCTCTTTGTTTATACTGTCTGGCCTTCTGAGTTTGAATAATTTCAAACTA